TTTAGGGTTTAGGGTTTAGTTCAAGGAAACTACATGTGGGGAGTTTAGGGTATATAAGGCTTCTATAAGGTATATAGACCTTCTATAAGGCTCCTATAACGGTAACTACCCACCTGAAAATGTCCTAGACCTCGTTTTGCTTTTGCGCATGCACGGATGCTGCAACCAAGCACTGGTAACACATGAGAGTTTCTTAAACACCAGGGGTCATTCATGGATCTCAATATTAGAGACCCACAATCCCTAGGCTCTTATATTGAAGCTCCGGATGTTTGGTGTCTATTCAGGCTCCTAAATCGACTGGGGCTGATCCTGAGCTTTGCAATATGCCTGGTGAAAGACATGCACATCTGCAGTAATATAAGGGCCTGCATGAACAAATAATTAGCATCGGCTTTTGAAAGATACTATAGCCTAGCCATAACAGATAACAAGGGGCCGAATTCTATAGTATTAGGGTGGTTCTCTAAGTTAGGGTCCTCTTTTGTGTCCCCACCCTAAAAAGGACCCTAATTTAGAAAACTGCCCATTAGTGTTTGTTTTTGGCTTCTGCAGTATGGACTCGGACTTCCAAAACCTGGCTTCAACGATAGAACGAGGTTGCCATGAGGTCTGTTGGGCCCTAAACCCTGAACCCCTAAACCCTAAACCCTAAACCCTAAACCCTAAACCCTAAACCCCTAAACCCTAAACCCTAAACCCTAAACCCCAAACGGGTTCCATCGGACTTTAACGGGTGTAGTATAGGGTCCTTCATAACTAGACCGAGGTTTGGAGTTTGGCATGTGATATCCTATAACTACACCTATAACTACATCGAGACCATGGGTTTAGGGTTTAGGGTTTAGGGTAAGGGGATACTAGTTACTAGTGCTAGGTATGCAAAATTGTACAATGCATCATCGAACGGTTTGTGCTTATGTCAGTTAATTCAGCTTACGACCGAACCCTCATTTACCGCTGTGAGAAGAAACCGTAAGCGAGGATGAGGTGTGCTTTGTACAACCTCCGGGGGCTTACTGCGGCTTCTGCAAAGTTGTCATAGGGCTCTCCGTTTCAATAACCCTAAACTCTAAACCCAAAACCCTAAACCCTAAACCCTAAAGTGCAACGAGAAGCGCAAACGCCTTGCGGCATAGGGCTGGTGGGGACCCCAGGACGCGCAGAGCAAGGGTGGCCGGCACTCCAAGTGCGGCTTCGGAGCACACGGAAGTTCAGGTTTAGAGCGTCAGGTTAACGGGGGCTTCAGCTAAGCAATTCATTAACGGTTGGGGGAATTCGCACGCAGCTTTTTGTCTCAAACCCTACACCCTACACCCGGAGATTTCGAGCTCACGGCTTACATACACATGCAGTGGGGCGTAAGCTGCTGCCGAGGATCGGCACTGCTGCCAGAAAGATGATTCCCCAAAGAACCGTGCGGCTGGGTCCTGCGACAGCTCGGGGAGCCTAGAGTCTGATAAGACTTTATATTGGTTTTTATGAACTGCTGTAAGGCTTTACAAGCAGCAGTGTAAGGGGCTTTTAACCTAAAGCCTAAACCCTAAACCCTAAACCCTAAACCCTAAACGCCTGCGAGGGCCGCTCGAAAAGAACTCAATTCAAACAGCCCAGAACTGGCGGGCTGCTGAAAGCAGCCGGCGTCGCTACTACGCTCCGACCGCTACGACAGGCGCGCTGAGCTTCTGGGTCGAGCTCACGGTTCAGGGTTTTTTGGAAAGCTGCTAGTACTCTGCGAGTGCGCTCTCCGGCATGCAAACGTCTCAGCGGCTCAAGCAGAAAGCCCACTCCGTAGGCAGACTGCGAGCAAGCGTCGGAAAGAGATCAGCACTGGCATTGTCCGCGCCAATGCAAACTCTACCGGAACTTCGGCAGGTTTGCCCAATCCAGGCTCCCCTGCGTATTATCACCGTGCTTTGCACTGGTGAGGTAGCCGGGCTTCGCGACGGCTCAAAATTGGCGATCTGAATGCAGATGCAAATCAAATCCCGGTGTTTGCTGGGCAAGCGACACACTGTAAGTAGTAGGTCTTCGCAGGTGGCCCCTACAAGGTCTCCTTGACTGACAGCGCTCCGGACCGCGCCTAGAAGATCCTTGAGGACGGATCCACAGTGAATCAGCTTGATCAGCGACTGTGCCCAGGGTGGCTGCCGAAAAGTCGACTCCTCCGTGGGCTGTGGGGGTGAAAGGCTCGCCCACCAGGGTTGTGGGCCCGTCAGCCTTATGGCCGGAAGCCAAGCTCTATTGCCCCCGCGCACTTCATCCGTGGCAGTTACAGTGAGGTCTGCAGCAATGGTGACATTCCGGCATTTGGTGCTCCGCCGCATGTGCTCCCTCAGGCGGTTGGAGCTCCAAAACTCAACCCGGCAGACCTGGCACGCCGTACCCACCGTGGCGAGGGTGGCCGGTCGCTTTCGGCGATGTGATGCACAGGAGGCGGCTGTACTGAAGGTAAGGCCGCAGTCTGGGCAGGAGTGAACAGCAGGGGCGACGGAGATTGCGGATGGCTTCTGCACAAGAAGAAAACCTGCATTGCTTAGGGCCTGCAACGCCTCGAGCTGCTGCCTTCGGTGAGGTAATGCCTGCTGCCTAGCCTTTGTGCATTGGCGGAGGAAACGGCGGGCACATTGACGGGCAAGGGAAGGCTGTTGTTTCAATCGGGCCCAGCCAAGATGTTTGGGGACCCCGAGGCGGCCGCAACCTGCTCCACAGCCGCCCAAGCTTCGTTGGCCCATTCCTGATCAGACTCCCACAACTGGTGGAGAGCCGCTGAAGGTTCCTGGAAAATCCAGCCCAGGTGGCGCACTAAGTCGGCCTGACGGGCCTCCGCAGCATTCCCTAGGCCAAGGACCAGGCAGACGTCGTCGTCTGTGAGCCCCTGCGTAGAGAGCCCCGAGACCAAACGCAGGAGCTGTCTGGGCATTTCCATGTAGGCTCGGCGATACAGCTCACCAGCTGGGCCTGTGCGAGCCGCCAGAAGCCTGCTCCATGCCGGAATCTGGATAGAGGCATGCTAGCGATCATCTGAGACTTTTCGGTCTCCGAGAGGTGGGGGTTTCGGCAAAGCCGGCGTAGCGGCCCCAGCATTTTGCGGGTAAGTGCCGCTCGGTGGCGGATGGCAGCCATGTCGTTGTTGGCACTGTCGAGCATGGCACCTAGATGCACATAGGTCTCCGTGACATGGAGTTGCACAGAGTGGCCCATAGGGAGATGCACCGGGTGTTTGGCTCCAGCTTCACAAAGGAGCTCTCGACGGGCTTGCCGGGATCCTGCGCCCAAGATGACTGGCAACAGTTCAGTCTTCCCTTGAGAGAAGTTGATGTCCAGGCCCATGTCCCTCATGGCCTGCCAAAGGTCGTTGAGCACCGTGGTCACCGTTTCCAACAGGCACTTGGTGTCCCTTGCACGCAGGGGGATGGCTAGGTCGTCCATCCAGCTCGGTGGTGGAATCGGGTCTGGGCGTGGGTCCAGGCCTCGGTGAGCACTGGCTTGCGCATTGGCAGAGAGGTCCAGCATCAGGTTTTCCATGCGGTGCGAACACCAGTTGGAACTGTATGTCCGCATTCGGGCTTCCTGGGGAAGTACCCGTGCGGGTCTCGAAATAATGCTTATCATGGGCGCCCACTGAGAACCAGGTGTCGCGCAAAGTGGCAGTCACTATGCGTCGCACGCTCTCGGGGACATCGTTGGCTTCCAGGATACCGGGGCCCAGTGTCTGGGCGACGAAGGTGAGTCGCTCCCCAGGGCTCTCGGATGTGGCCCTGGGCGAGGGCCATTGGAGCCTGAAGGGGAGCTCCAACGCGGCTCCCCCCCTGGCCGGCGGTCCGTGTCTGCTCCAGACAACGGAGCATGGGACCCCGTATGGCTCGGCACACTCCTTTCAGGGAGCTTTCGCACAGCAGTATGGCTCGCCAGGCATGTGCCGTCTGTATTGGCTTCCCTGGTTTGGGACTTGCCACCTTGTGGCCACCTCTCCAAAGGGCCGGCACCGCTCCCAAGATCTGGGCCTTGAGCAGGAGCGGCTGATGGACGCTGGCCGCGCCCACAGGGTCCGCCTTATATAGCTCCATCGGAAGGCCAGACGGGCCCGTGGCTTTGCCGCTGGCTAGGCCGCCGTACCCCCTAGCTAGGGCCGCAACGCTGAGAGATGCGTGTACCTGGAGGGGCTTTTTCGGAGGCTGCATCCTAGTCGTGCAAATGTCCTGGGCTGGACGTAGTATGGCTCGCTCGGCCTTTGCAAAATGAAGGCCTAGGTGGAGGTGCGAATCCTTGGCGAAGGTGCCTTCTGGGGTAAGGATGGCCGGCTGAATGGCTGGCTCCCTAAACCTGCCGCCGGGTGCGCACGAAATGGCGGAGGTGTCGAAAGAGGGACTCCGGTCCGCCTGCGCGCGCCTCTCGCACGGCGGTCTGCGCGGCGGCCGCCGTGTCTTGGCGTTGCCGGTCCCGGATGACACGTCGCATGGTCTGCAGCTGGCTTGCATATAATGCCTCAACCTGACAGTTAAGCCTAAGAAGCTCAGCACCTGCCTCGAGGCTTTCAGTGGCCCATGCATATTTCTTGGCAGTGCGAGGGGCGGCGGTCTTAAAAGCCTGCCAGAGAAGGAGCCATTGCCTGCGTCCTTGGGTTTTGCAATCGTGCAAGGTGCGCTGCAGCTCTCGCCGGTCTTTAATGAGCCCCCAAGTCGCGACACTCAACACATAGGATCTGGGCCGTGAAGGGCACACAGGAAAGGCCTCGGCAAGGGCTGTGGCGAGGTGATGGTTGATGGTCTGTAGATGGGCGTCAACATCAACCTCCCAAGGAATATCCGGTGCCCTATCAAAGATCTCCCGAACCTGGGCACGGCCTTCCTCGGTAAGCATTTGCTTGGCATCGAACTTGGGCGCTTTGCACGAACGAGCTGCAGGGAGACTACAATGGAATAGGATGGAGACAGGCTCGTGGTCCTGCGCGGCTTTTCCCTCAAAACCCACAAGTGTACCCCAAAGCTCCATGCCTGCAGCTAGGCGTGTGGGGCATGCCAAGTAATCTAAGCAGAGCTGTGCACCCTGAGGTCCGCTCCAGGTAATGAGGCGGTCGCCAGCAGTGGTCTGGTTTGTGGTGGACGTTAGCTGCTGGTCTGTAAGGAGCTCTGCATACTTTTTTGCATTATAGTTGAGGGCCCGATCCGAAGAGGGTGGGGCAGAGCTCCATTCAAAGTGAGCGTTGGCGTCGATACACAAGACGGGCAGGAAGCTAGCCGGAATTCGGCGCATTGCCCCGGCTAGTTCTTCCCACCACGAATCGAGCTCAGGCTTGCCTGACTTACTGGCGGGCGCGTGGGCAGCGACGACGGCTACCCGAAGTCCGCCGGCCTTGATAGTGACGATGAGAATGCGGGGCCGCGCATAAAGGATGGCGACTGAAGTGATGTCCCATCCGACCTCAAAGTCAGCGCCGCGCCCAAACTGCAACCCCTTAGCAAGCCAAACTTGCATGCCGAACTGTCCGTCCACAGAGTCGCTGGCAAGTACATGGAAATGCTGCGTGGATGTGCGCCGACCCGGAGATGCGCGGGTCTCTTGAAGGGCAACCATGGCGAGACCGGCCCGCCAAAATTGATAATCAAGGGATTCCCTTTGCTCCACCCCCTGAAGTGACAAGCAATTGTAACTAGCTGCCGCGATCTTGTAGTTGACAACTCCCCCAGCCGGTTCTGGATCGGGCAAGACGTCGGCAAGTGACTGGCCCACCTGCCCGACACGACCCCTGTCAATGACTCCATCTGTCTTGACAGCAGGCAGGCTGCGGTGGAGTCCGCAGGCGGCCCTTAAGCCATGAGAGTGCACCAGTGCTCTGAGCCTCGAAGAGGGAACCTGAGGCCTCCAAGACATGTGATGAGTCAGCGGCTCCTCTAGCCAAAGCATCTGCAAAGTCGTTGGCGGGGTGGTCTTGGTGTGATTTGATGTGGCGGCCCGTCGGCGCCAGCCCGCACAGGCGCAGAAAATGTTGAATCTCAAGGCAAGCTTGACCCATCAAGGTGTCTTGGCTGTCAACCGCAGTGCCGAACGCGGCATCCCCAGCAGCCTGGTTGTCAAAACCGATCAACGTGGGGACCTGCACCTTGGCTGCAATGGCAAGGGCATGTAGAACAGCCGCAAGTTCCACCTCGTATGATGAGCGGACGGGCTGTCCCAAACTAGCAGCAGATCCTTGGATCGGTGCCGGAGAGGCCATGTATCCATACCCCCTGTCGCAGAGCAATGGCAAAGCCGTCACTGCCACCTGCTGCCATGA